GAGTCCTCTTTGGTGAGTGTCTTTAGTTATATTTGTTGTGGCTGCTGTGATATTCTGAATTCTTTCAAAATGTTGAATTTTCTCAATGATTTTGACTTTGAGAAAGAGCCAGAAGTCACCTGGTGCCAGATCCAATGAACAAGGACACACTGTGATATTTTTACAAGCCCGGGTTTCCATTGGCTGCCCCTCAGTAGCAGCATTCAATAAATCACACTTCATAAAAATGCTCAAGAAAAAAGACTTCCAGAGCTGCTTCAGAGAGTGGCAATGATGGGATACGTGTGTTTGAAGCGAGGAAGAGCATTTTGAGGGGGATTAATGGCCATATGTCTTTACTGTGATGAGAGCATATTAATTTAAATATTCACGTTAGTTTCTCATCACACTTTGTATCTGTGTTTGGCATTGTAGGACGGGTAGTGACCAAAAGCTTCTGACCAGGTACCCTATTTCTAAGAGATCTGTTTTTTTGTCTCTTTTTAATGAATTCACATTACAATTTAATGTAATGATGTATTTTTGAAGTGTTTTGTGATTATTTGGAGAAAATTATATTCTAAAATTGATGAAATTCAGTGTCTATAATTTCATCTTTTGAAAATTGTGATACTCTAACTTTGTTTTCTTGTGATTTTTTTTTCCTTCTGACTAATCTCAAAACAACTATTTCTGCCATGACTGTAAAAAATCGGGTATCATTCCTTTGTGAAATCACCTGAAGATGACTCACTCAGTGCTTCCCAGGGGGCAACAACAGGTTTGGGGCCTGGGATACAAGAGGGATGGAGTTGAATTTAGTTGGGATGGGGACATTGAGACAAACTCTCACAGAGGAAAGCCAGTTGATGAACATGTTCCCACCAGATGGCTTGTGACTGAGAGGAGATGGTAGGGACATAAGAGGACTGAGACGACCAGAACTCAGTGGAAATATCTAGGCTGGCAATAGGCATTACACAGACGGCAAGTAAAGACCTGGGCTGTGTGAAATGGAGTGAGGAGGGGCTCAGAGAGAACATCTGCAAGGTAGTGCTCTAGGTCTTCAGTGTGAACTGGGTCGTGGACGGAGAGAAAAAAATGCTGAGGAAGAGCCACCCACAGAGTAAGGAATAGAAAGCCCTGTGAGTGAGGTATCCTGGCAGCCAGGGGAGAAGGGGTTCTTTAGTCTTTCCTTGCATTGCCAAGTTCTCAGCATTTGAACTGAATTAGTCTGATGGCTCTCTGGAATCCTAAGAATCCCATTTTGTGAGTTCCTGTTTCTTCCAAGAAAATGCTAACCTACTTTGAGACTGACTCCCAAGTGTAGTGGCGTAGAGGTCTCACCTGCAGCCACCAGTTCCTTAAGCTTCCTGTGACATGGCCACAACCAGGGCTCCTTCCCTACGTGCAGACTGCAGAGGGGAAGAAGGGGCTAAGAGGTGAACAAAGCACTCTGCTGGCTGGGCTGAGGCACTGCTCTGTGGGAGAAGGCGCACTTAGCAGGCACAAGGCCAAGAGAGAAAGGACTCTGTGGGTTGTGGAAGTGACACACCAAGGAAGCCACCGCCGCTGTGGTGGAGTCATGGGGTGCAAGGTCTCTGCTCCGAAAGCCCAGGGAGGCCAAAGCTGTGGCTGGCACTGAGGGAGTCATGATTCCGACAGATGCATTTCTTCAGAATCCACCTTTCAGCAGGATGCTCAGTCTTTGAAAATTATTCCTAAATAACATTGGCTAAAGGATACTATCATCTTGTATTTAGAAACTAAACTCTAGCATGGACAATTTTATAAGTAATGTAATGCTTTCAAGAAATCCTTTACTATGTTAGGCCATGAAATGTGACACCTTTAGGTCATGCTTTTCCAAGGTACGAGCTTTATGTCACTGTTTTAATGTACATTATAGTTCTGGCACTACTTTTAGTACCTTTAATGTATTGTGGTGGGAAAACATAGTGAAGGTTTTAAAAAAGAAGAAAGAGACTATACTGTCAGCACAGATTTTTGTGCATGATGTTTAATGCATTTTTATTTCACAATTGTCTTTTTTGTCAGTTTGCAACAAAAATAAATAAAAATTAACAACATCTTATAAATTATCTATATTCTCCTTCAACATCTTGAGGTACACAATTATCAAAGCTGATATGAACATAAACAAATTGATACAATTCAGTACTCAGATTAAATTCATGGTCAAATAAATTACATGAAACTGCATGCAATATGACTTTATGTTCCATAGCATCTTTAATAGAAACTGCATACCAAAATGGCTCCTCAGACTTCAAAGTGCAGTTACAGAGTGCAAAGGTGGCATCGTGCAAGAGAAACATGCCATGTGACATTTCATTTCATCAGACTCGAATAACAGGTATGTTTTAGACATAAAGATTCCTCAGTTAAAATCCTAAGTCATGCTCCAGAAATGGTGCTTACCCTCTCCTTTCTAAGAGTAGAAACAAATTAGAAAATTGGTCAGCCATCCTATATTTTTCCTAAAAGTTCTATAAAACAGAATAGAAATCGGAGCAAAGATAAAAAACGTTTTTAACTGTATTATTAAATTAACAGAAACGAGACTCTGGTGTCATTCATTTGTTGCATGAAAATTGATTTAATACCTGATGGCAGTTAAATTTAACTACCTCTCTTGCCCGTAACTCAAAAGCTACAATTCAAGATGAAATCATAGCGGTCACCGCAGAGAGATGGGGGCATAAGTGGGTGAAGAAGAGTTGCACTCTGTTGTGTGATAGGACATGAGAAATCTTAACTTGGCACCCATTATAATCACAATGTCCTTGATTACAGAATGTGACTGCAGGGTTGTTGTGTGGCTCTACTGGGAGATGATCAATCATGTAGGTTGTGTTGGACATTATAGCCTCTTTGAAACATATGCATAGCAAGAAATCTGTAAAATGATAAAGGCAGACTGTGGACCAAAATCTTTTCAATTATCTATAGGAAACATGAATTCATAGTGATCACTTTTGATATTTACTTAGCATTATCCTCCTTAAAACAATCGTTTTACTTACTTTCACCCAGAAATGCAATTTGGGTTATAAAGATTTAACTCCCTGAGGAATCAGTGTTTTGCATTCTGTGTGTGTGTGTGTGTGTGTGTGTGTGTGTGTGTGTGTGTGTGTGTGTGTGTATGAGACAGGGTCTTGGTAAGTAGTTTAGGCTGGCCTCAAACTTGCAGTCCTCCTGCCTTAGCCTGCTGAATGCTGGGACTACAGTTGTGTAATACCAGCATTTTTAAATAAAGATCAGAATCTCCCAAATGATTTGTACCAAGTTATGTAATGTAAAGTAAGATGTTTAGGACAGGCCAATCTACCAATGTTGAGATGCTCACAATAAGCCTTTTATAAGTGAAATATATGGATTGTAGCTGAGTTCTACATTTTTGCCAACACATTTTCTTTAAAACAGCCAAGATCTTTGAAAATAGGCAGACTGTACATCCAGTAGCTGTGAATAAGTACTTAACAGGATTTTAAATTGGTTCTTGTGCAACATGTCTGATCTCAGCTACAATGAATGGGAAATAAATATACTTTAAGGTCTTGTTTTTAAGTTTTATACATTAGTTAACAGATCAACAAGTAACTATAATTCTATGATGATGGGGCACACTTGTGTATAAGGATGCATGTGTGTATTTTTTGGCCTCTGCAGCCTGCTGTTTCCCCACTGATGTAGCCACACCAGGAGCCTACTGGAGAGGCATGTGAATGCACACGGGTATGCTGGGTGTGTCAGGCAGGGCCCCCATGGGACCTAAGTCTTGGTATTGGCACCTGCAGGCCAGCTCTGGCTAATGGGGAGAATGGGGCCCCCTGGCTGGCCTTTCAGGGGCAGCTCCATCGGCTCCTGGGGAAGATGGGAGAACTGGCTCATGCATTCATGGAGACCAGAGTTCAAGACAAACCTCAGTCTCTTTCACAAAAATAAACCAACCACAGGAAAAACCACAGCTCTCATCTCAGCCTCCAAAAGTAGGTGAAGTTAAACCTGAAAGCTCAGAAGCTCTTGAGTGCATTTCTCATTTATAAACACACACAATTGTTTATTTCCCTATTTTCCCCCACTGCCTGTAAGGTTATATTTTAAATATATAAATTTAAGTTTTCAAAGAAGCTATTGAATGAGATGCTTGTAAAGTAAGAAGTGTCTTGGATAGAAAATGAAGTCAGTTTATTTCTATTTTCAGAAAATACATAGAACTACTCTCTTATTATATTTTAATTAATCCATCAGATTTTAGTCTCTGATTTAATCTTGTAATTCCTCAGCAAACTCCTTTTGAAAACAAGTACTCTAACAAAAGAAGCCCACGTGCCATTTCAAGTGTGGATATTTTTTGTCTTGTCGGATAAGCAGTGATCATTTCACATCAACCATGTTTATAAGGAACATTAAAATGGAATATTGTGAGGCTCTGATGCAACCAAGATGAACAGGAAATGATAAAAAAAAAAAAAGCCCATCTGGGTCCAGATGGGGAGTCTGCTAGGTGGGTGACTTCTATCTGTGGCTGTTGTGGGTGGCGTGGGAACCATCCCTTCCCCTCCAGGCAGCCTGGGTCAGGGTGAAGGGTGTTCTGCTCAGCTGGGTTTGTTTTAAGGATGTGATGGATGGCCCCGACCTGGATCTGCTTCTCCTAGTCCTAACCGATGGCTGCCAACACATGACACAGAGGTACCAGCATTGGCACCACGTGGGATCACAACACAAGCCAGCCGGTTCTGCTCATTGGAGGAGGAGAAAAACTCTATGTGTTAAATTTATGTGACCATGGTTTAGATTCACAGAGATCCATCCCTCACACTCTCAGCCCTGAGAACCATATCGTCTCAAAAATAAAACAAAAATAAAAACGCTTTACAAGTATATTAAAAATATATAGTTGTTGACCTGACATGTGACCCAACATAAATATTATTAATAAAATAGGAAAAGGAACGTGATCTGGGCCCCTGGCCTGGCCCGGTGCGGTGAAGCCCTCAGACGTGGGACAGGGCTGGCTCCCCCGAGGTCACTCTCTCGTACTCCTTCTTAGACTCTTTACTTCTCTGATTTTTGTACCTGGAAAAATTCAGAAGCGAAACTGTTAGTACTGTAACTAGTAGTAATAAGAACAAGGTATGTTAACTGAAGAAACCAATATATGGGCACCAAAGGTACATTTTTAGCATGGCATGCGTCACATGACAAAAGTGAACTTGGTAAACACAGGGTTGGAAAGGGGCCATGATAGTCACACCAATCTGGATGGAAATGGGAAACACAGTTAAGTCCTTCTCAAGGGCTTAGCAGGATTGTGAATGCTGTGAAACTCCAAGAAGGAGTTTCCCTCTGTCCTTCTTTCATCCTCCCTTCTTCCCTTCTTCCCTCCCCTTCGTACCCCTTTTCTTACTTTCTCTGAATAACTTTTAATCTGTGATGATAAATAATTAGGAAGGCATTATTATTTGATGAATATTTAGAATCACATATGGATGAAATAAATTTCATTGTATAAAGGCAGCACACCTTCAGGCCTTAGCTACTTTTAAAGAGAAAAAAAAATCACTGAACAATTTGCACCAGTTTCAAAGTGAAAAAGACTTAAAATGGAGACATTACCAAAGCAGATTTTTAATTCACACATTTCCAGTAGTCTGGTGATACCCTATGGCAGCTGCCAGTCCACAGTCCTATTTTTTTCAGTTATCATCTTGTGACAGGCGGATGGGGTGTGACTCAGATGACTGATATGAGCCACTTAAATTTTATAACTGCCTAGAAACTCATTTCTACAACTCTTCAATTTTAAAATGGACAGCCTCTTAGACTATTAATTACAAAGTTGTGCTTTGGGAAATAAAAATTTGACTAAATATAAGCATCAAAGGACAATAGCAATATCATGTCCTACAGTTTTCTTTCACATGTATGGTATTAAATACCACCTTGTACTGTTGAGTAAGAATTTTCACCTGATCTTCCCTATTTGACTTTCATAAAACCACATAGATCATAAGTAGCACAGATAACAAAATCAAGTCCAGATCTTCTGCAGCTAAAATCATTGTAAATATCATCAGTGCAGATTACATCTCATTCCTATTACTATGTTCACATTTTACCAAATTTGTGGGTCTGTATTGTGTAAAGACTGTTGAGTAAGAATTTTCACCTGATCTTCCCTATTTGACTTTCATAAAACCACATAGATCATAAGTAGCACAGATAACAAAATCAAGTAGAGATCTTCTGCAGCTAAAATCATTGTAAATATCATCAGTGCAGATTACATCTCATTCCTATTACTATGTTCACATTTTACCAAATTTGTGGGTCTGTATTGTGTAAAGTAATTTGTAAAAGTAGAATTAAAAAAAAAAAAAAAAAGCAACCACTGGCTTAGCCTGATGTGGTGGAGCATGCCTATAATCCCGGTACTCTGGGAGGCTAAGGCAGGAGAATGAACAGTTTGAGCCCAACCTGGGCAATTTAACAACTTAGCGAGACCCTGTGTCAAAATAAAAACTAAAAAACAAAGAGGGACTGGTTGTGTAGCTCAGTACAAAGGCCCTAGGTTCAATTCCCAGTCCCACATTAAATACATGTATACAGCCGGATGTGGTGGCCCACGCCAGTAATCCCAGCACTCGGGAGGTTGAGGCAGGAGGATTGCTGTGAGTTCGAGACCAGCCTGGGCTACATAGTGAGTTCCAGGTCAGTCTCAACTACATAGTGAGACCCTGTCTCAAAAAAAAAAAAATACATGCATACATGCATACGACACTGGCTTACCATCTGCAGAAATAGTATACGGAACCAGCAATGATGACCAAAAACAAGATGACAAGAATTGCAGTGAGAGCCACATATTCTTTGCTCAGTGGTTGGTGGACGGTTAAGAAGAAGTGTTCACATCGGACACCAGTGTAACCCACATCACATCTGAATGGAAATACGGGAAGAAAATAAATTATTTTAAGAAGAAACTGTGGTTATGAATTAGTTTTGTAAGTTTAACTTCACACTGTAATTCAAGAAACCAACTAAATCTGCTATCAGGTATACAGCTGAATGTAAAGGTTGGCCTGAGAGTTAGGACGGCATTGATCAAATTGCTCCACAGAGCTCTCGGCTAATCCGTGGGGTCATTGTGACAGTTTGATCAGGCTTGTTGTAAATTTTGTAGGCATGGCCACTGTGGAAAGCAGTATGGCGATGCCTCAGTGAACTAGGATTAGGGGCTGGGGATTTAGCTCAGTGGTTTGGTGGCCTGCCTTGCAAGTGCAAGGACCCGAGTTCAATTCTTAGTACCAAAAAAAAGAACTAGGATTGGAGGTCCCATTTGACCTAGCTATTCCCCTGTTGGGTGTCTTCCCCAAAGAATTAAAAGAATCATACCACAGTGATACACGGGCACCTAAGTTCATAGCAGCACAATTTGTAATAGCTAAACCTTGGAAGCAGCCCAATTGCCCATCAATGGGAGACAGGATAAAGAAAACGTGGGGTGTTTCTTAAATAGAATACTACTTAGCCATAAAGAATGAGAAACTAGAGACATTTATAGCTAAATGGATATACATTGAGGTGATACTCAAGTGAAATAAATAGGACATATATGTGCAAATACCAAATAGTCTCTGTAGTGTGAGAAACTGAAAGTGTAAATAAAGACTAAAAGGTATAATAGATACTGTGAAATAGGAAGAAAAGGTGCAAAGGGGAAGGGGAAATGGGAGGGGGAGGGGAATGGAATTAATATGAGAAAAACAAAAAATGGAAACAAAGTCTTTATAGATAGGGAGGGGTGGGGGGCTGAAGGGAAGGCAGGGGAATGGGGAAAAATAAGAATCAAGATGGATTATGTAAAGGTGCAAATTTCCAATGATGAATGTCATTATACTGTATACCTTAAATGTACGGATAAAATTAATAAAAACAAACGTTGTAGGTATGAAGTCTTTTTTGTCTGAATCATTACATCCAGCCCTTAACACAGTGGTGGACAGAGTGGTCCAATGGTGAGGAAAAAAAGTGAAGCAAATGAGAGGTGTATCTGGTACCCCCTACTCTGCACCTCCAATAGCCCAAAAAATATAGAGTGACTTCAAAACAGGAAAAGGAGGAAGGTGGGCACAGCCACCATCCTGTCCACCTTTGTCATTCTCACCTGCAGTAATTCTCACTCATGTCCACCAAGTAGATGCACTGCCCGTGCAGACAGTAGCCCTGCATGTCAGAGGCACACTTGGTGATGGACACCTGCGCCACACGCGGGCTGTCCTCCATCTGGACTGTGAAAGGAATGGAGAGTTAAACGCATTCTGCTGCCCGCTTGGGTTCTGGGGTCATTAATCACGGCAGGAGCCGCTGAGCAACTCCAACAGAAGAGGTCAGACACCAGTCAGTGGAGGAGAGGCTTCCGGAGGGGGAGGTCACGTCACTATCGTGCCGTGCAGACCAAGAAGCAAACCCAAAGGAACAGGTCTGACAGACTACTCGAAACACCACACTTGCGGGCTTCATTCTCAAATGGACCTTCGCAGCGGAAAGGGTAAGTTTAGCGCACGCGCACGAGCGCACGCGCGCGCGCACACACACACACACACACACACACACACACACACACACTCCCCTTCCCTGTGCACAAAATTTCCATCTTCCTGTTCTGCTTGGGAGTCAGCCTTTCAGTGTATCCTCAAAGGATGTTTTTGTGGCAAAATGTGATTTTCCTTATTCCCCATTTTTAGTGACCAAATCTATTTGTTTGGTGACCAAATCTTTCTAATTTGATATCTGACCCCCAGCCCCTTCCTACCAATTACTCTCTTTTGTAATTTTCCAAAATCTTAGTTCATTAGTGGTTTTAAAATTGACCAAGTGGCTAATCATTCTTTTCCTAGTCACATATCTCTGTTGCCATTTTGCTAAACTGTGTCCTCTTTGGTGCAGGGTGGAGGCAATGGCCTTACCTAAAGCTGTGCAGTTATTGTCAGATTCTCCTGGGATGCAGGACGGAATCACGGTTGTGCTGAGAATCAACTGTAGAAGATGAAAACCTATTTATGGAGGAAAAACAAATATATGATTCACCTTTCAAAGAAAGAACCCTTGATTAATATCCAACTGCATTACTTGTAGAGCTCTTTTAATTGTTTCAAGGATCTAATCCATCAAAACCATGAAGGAAAATTATTCATAAAAATACACAGATATTTGAGAATAAATGAACCACATTTTTTCTGTCCAAGAGGAGAAACCATGGCACTGGATTCATAGTTACAGATTTCACCAGTTCCAAAAGTTCCGCAGTAACTTTCTCAAAGATCTGGTGTTGATGTCCTGTTTCCAGCGCTCAGCAGAGAATCCTCGCAGCTGTGCTTGAAGTAAAGCTTGGTGACAGGCCCATCACAGATTTCAAATAAAAAACAGGCTCTACTTATTGTGACAACTAAACAGGAAGCTCAACCTGAGAAGCATTCATTGTTTGTGAAGGGCCTGAGTTACTCTTTACATTGCAGTCCACAAGAAAACAGACTTTCATTAATACAGGGCAATCCAGGTTGAGTCAGAAAACAGCTGTCCCTTCTTATCTCTAAAATAGGTTCTAAAACCCCTCAGATGCTAAAATCTACAAATACTCAAGTTCCTTACATAAAATGGCTTAGACACCTTAGCTCATCTCTAGTTTACTTATATTCCTTGATGCTGTAGGGGTGCTATGGAGACACTTGGTACAGTCTATTGTTTAGGGAACAATGACCCCCAAAAAGTCCAAACATGTTTGGCATATGAACACCATTTTTTTAAAAATGTTTGAACCCATGTACATAGAGGGCCAGCTCTGTGGCTGGTGTGACATGGCAGGATGCATGTTGGATGGATCCCACCCTGCCCCAGCACCACTTCCTGTTGCCCAGGAAGAGTCTGAACCAGACGTTTCCTGTCTGTTGCCAATGAAAAGATTAATATCGGAAAACAGGCATCAAAGTATTCATCAGTGTTCAACTCTAACACTCAGGGAGGAGTCAGAGCCAGGAGTAGTTGCCAGTTCCTGGACCTGTCCTGTGTGCCAGGCAGAGTTCCAGTCCCTTGATCTGCACCATCTCATTTCATCCTCCCAGTACCTCTCTGAAGAGGCAGCTATCATTAACCCTATTGGACATGGGGAAAATCAGCATGAAAAGTTGAGATGACTTCCCCAAGAGTCTGTGCTGCTCAATGAGCCAGGCAACAGGAGCTGAAAAGAGTGATAAGACTCAAGTACAGTGAACATCACACAGAAGGAGAGAGGGAGAGAGGAAAATTAATAAACACTGGGTATTTACGGGGGGGGGGCCATTTTATTAGAAAACTCAAGTGATCTAATTTTGGACACATTAGTCAAGTTCTCCGAGCCTCCATTTTCCCCACTTTACAAACTGTTGAAGAGACTGAAATGAAACAAAGCTTTTCTGGAACACCTGACACAAGAGGGTTACTACTCATGACCCCTCAATCACAAGGTCTGGCCTGGAGCTTTCGCAAGATATGGGAGTGCTGCCCTCTACTGGCTCATGAAAAGATTAGAAATCTGTAATTTAGTCTTTTTTAAAAGGATTGTTTAATCCATGTAAAACACAGACTTTATTTTTTTCTTAATCATAGCTGACAGATTGTCTAAGGAAACTGCTTATTCTTTGGGTCCTAAAAGCCACGTTACATTACCATCATCATCACCATAGTTTAAATTTTCATGTTTCAAATGACACAATAATCCTGTGAGGTCCTTATTAGCTTGAAACAAACTCAGTGCATATAAATTAAATATCTGATGTGATAACACTTATCTACTGACCACAAAAGACAAGCACGAAAAATCTAATATTGAACCAGACATTTTTTTCAATTACTTGAGAATACTGTTTCCTTGAAAGCTATAGAACTATTTTCCCTGGCTCAAGTTTCCTCTACATTATAAATGCTGCTTCAGTAACTTTTACAGACTGCCCCCAAAATCATCTCTTAAATGATTTTTACACAGCTGAAGTCTAGATTTGATTGTCAATCAAACAGAGATGAAAACTATTTTCCACATCACCTTTATGACAGGTGAGCTGGATTCTCATCCATGGGAATTTGCTCAACATCTCAATATAATTTTGCTTTGTACTTTATTGAAGAATGTAACTTTGTCTCCTCTGTATGCCTGGACTTCTAGATGTGCCTATTCTTTTTAACTCCTAATGATCTGAATCATTATTTTACTTTAAACATTGACTTATTTTAGCAGCTCCATTTAATTTTAGTTTAGTAATTTTTTTAAACCAGGGATCGAACTCAGGACCTTGTGTTTTCGAGGCAGGTGGCTGCACCACTGAGCTAAATCCCCAGCCCTTAGGTGCACCTATTTTGATTTTAAACCTCACCCTCCCACCCCGTCGGTCCAGGATTCTCCCACAGAGGAAAACCCTGGAGGAGACATCCATCCCCAAACCTCCTATAGAAAAGGGCAGCAGAAGGAAATGCAGTTCAGAAGCAGGTTTCAGATGTCTCCTTTGCGGGAACCCAGCAATACTGTCCTGCTAGGAGCTGCTTACAGCCACCTGTGACGGCTATGGATTGCCGCTCATTGTCTTCAGGTGTTGCGTCTTGATCCCCCCGCCCTTTCTTCTCTTTCTTGCTTGTTAGTTTTTCCCCCTGTTGGAAATTTTGTTCCAGTTGCTCAGGCAACAGGTGATCTGCCTGTCTTTGTTAATGGAAAGAATTCTCAGCCCAGGGTGTGCCCTAGTGGAACCTGGGCTCCCCTAGCTTGGGACCTGCCCTGGACACAGCCCGCCGCCCAGGACAGTTTCTGTAAGACTTGCTGAATCAAGCCAACAGCAGGGCATTTCACAGGTGAAATTGTACACAATTCCAAACGGCCTTCTCGTATCGCAGTGTGTGGCCCCCACGTCTCCAATATAAATGTAACCAGTGAAACAGCAAAGCTGGTCTAAACCGTGAGTCCAAAAGCACCGTCCTCCTGCTTCAAAACAGTAGCCTCCAGTGTCCCTGTGCTGTGTCTCTGTCCCAAGTTCTTGATGACTGGAGTAGAGGGCTGAGCAGGGTGACTGAGAAATTGAAATCTCTGGCCACCGAGAGCAGTGACATCCACCATCTGACACTCTTGAAATCACTGTTTTAAAATCATACATGGAAGGAATAAATGCTACAGTCCTGCCCACGTATTTCTTTTGCATTAACATTTTTCACAATCTTAGTGTTCTAATATGTTATAATACATGTATTATTCTAATATATGTCTAATACATGTAATAATCTCTCTGTAATCAACTGCAAATATTAGGTTGGAGAGTTTGATCCTATACAATAGATCCCCAATGAAAAAATAATTCACTGTGACATTAAAGGTTTTGAATGGTGTCTGTGTCAAAAACCAGTCTGGTGACGTTTTACCCTAGTAACCAAGTCCCAGAGGAGCTCTGAACAAAGGGGATGTAGGCAGTGGTCACAAGTAAAGTAGCAGTCAGGGTTTCTCTTTCAGTACAGGAACAAATGTCAAAAGCCCTTGGCTCTCTCGGGCTTCAGGATGCAACATTTGCCCGTCACCTCTACCTTTATAGGTAGGCTGCAACCCAGTGAAATCTCAATGTGCCAGCAGGAAGTGGAGAGACTGACTCACAGGATGCAAATCGCCTCTTCCCTGTGAGTCAAGCCAGCCTCGCCTTAGAAATGGTGGGGACCTGGAGCGGTGCGTGGGAGAGGCTGAGCGCCATCTCCGGAATGGGGAGAGCACTAAGTGTCGAGAGCCTGGAGCACCGAACGGGATTGCTCAATACTGCAGTAGGGCGTGAGGCCAGACCTGGGGAGTGTGCTTCTGGTTGCACACTAATGGGCCCATCCGGGAGACCAACCAAGAGGAGAATGTGATTTGGTGACTGGCTGACCAAGCCAAGAGAGCAAGTTCAAGCCACATCATCTCAGCACTTGGGAGGCTGAGGCAGGAAGATCGCCACATGAGTACATAGTGAGACCCTGTCTTCAGAAGCCAAAAACAACAACAACAAACTGAATTCAACAGAAATTCTCAGAGACCCAGTGGCATTTCCGGAAATCAACCAAGCAAATAAAAAAGATCCAGGATGAAAGCAAGTTATAGAATGAAACGTATACACCTTCTTTTCCCAGTTAAATCTTTTAGAATATTTAGACCAGAACAGTACGCTCATGGTGAATCATACCATTTGCCCAGCCCAGACAGGTGGCACCATCCGCTTTGTTCACACTTTTGCTGCGTTTCCGTGCCAGCCGA